AAAGGTCTAGGTATGAGATGCTATGCTTTGATTTGTTAGTATATAACACTTCAATTAGCTCTATAGCTACCGTATATATCAACTTATTTTAGACAATAACCGCTTTGTTCTCATCTTACCACGAATAAATAACATACGTATAAATCAATTTGTCCTCCACTTAATAGTCTCTCGATAACCGGATAAATTTCCAGTTTTAGATTTACTCTCGGCTGTTTATAAAAAAAGTTATGTTCATATCCTTTAAACACGCACCGACCTAATGAAATTAAATGTGGAAGTTGCGGTTGTTTGTGGCGCAACTATTTCATAGTAATTTGAGTTTCCTCTGTGATACTATCTGGGCTTCTGTTCGTGAAACGGCACACTGCGATGACGACATGGTTTCGTTACACAATGCACTTAGTTCTACACGCAAGACTGTATGCCAGGATCAACAAGTGTTTAGTTACATCCACTGTTGAAATTATTTATTTTAAACCACATTTCAGATTCAAGATAAGAAATTGGAGACAGTGAAATGAAACAAACAATAGGTCTAAAAGTAGATCATCATCATCATCACCATCATCAGTGTACTCCCATGTGCTAAGTTCAATTTCTGAATGTTTTACTACTTGTAGAATTTTTTTTTTTAAATGTATTGTTGCATCGTTTTTAACTTTTTAATCAGAGAGACAAGGGAGTATGAGTGTCTCCTCCCCTGCTGCTTCTTTCCTTTGGGCATTTATCATTAGCAGGAGAAAAATGTGCTTCGTCATGTTCAGACTTTGAACAATTTATTTGGCTTGAGGTAACTAATAGTGGAGGTAGATCTGATATAATGTTTTAAATAAGAATAAATTCCACACATAGCTGATAACACCTAACCTATGTGAAGTAGATTATTGCATATTCCACTCCACGCAATTTATATCGTGTCCTGAATTCAAGGCACTCTGTACAACAGGTTTTTGACCTCTTTAATAGTTTTACTTTATCAGTATATTCGTGATTTTCTAAACGTTATGTAATGTTCTGTCACTCAGTAACAGCATAACATATGAAATGGAGACATTAGTACCTCTGCCTATTTGGGTAAAAATATCTCTTTACCACAACAACAAGTTTTAGAAATGAAGTTGCTGCAAGACTGTAAAATAACACCGATAAACATACCCGGGATTAGAAAGAGTTGCCATGGTATCATACGTACATCTGCCAAATCCTACTCTTGTTTGCTGACTGTGCTAAAGTTACTGGCGAGTAAATGTGTACAAAATGGTTTCGCCTACGATCAAGAGGATCGTGTCACCGAACACGACACTTACCAAATACTAAGTAGAAATTGAACTTCAGCTAGACTACAACAAAAGGTCTATATGTAAAAAAAAAAAAAATTGACAATTTAATTTCGAGCTTCGGTCAGTTTTGAAAGTAATTTTGTAGCTATTTTACTTGTTTGATATCATTTTATTGATTCATCATGTCCCCCATCTGTAAGTTTAATATACTGTGAGTAATCACTCAGGCGCTACAACAAAGCTCCTATAGTTCTGGTTGTTATGCACCAAGCAACAAAAACAAACAATTTATTCACCCTAGGTTTGGCTGTTTTGGTATTTTCTACCTCCATTTGTTATAGAACACTATCAGTTTGGAGTCTTTCCTGTTTAAATTGAAATTAAGTCTTATTATGGGTTATTCAAGTTACTGCTTGACAAAGTGCTAAGAGTAAAGCAGGTGTTATCGTCTACTTTTACTTGACGTTTTCAAATCGCAATGACAAGCTTCTTTGTAACCTTCTGTACTCATTACAAGTATTGTAGTTCCAATCGTGTCCTCATTTTCTGTGATCTCATTTTAAGAATCAAATTAAAACTAAGATTGCTGAATAAACTTGAGCAATGATTCCGCCATGCCAACTATTCAAAACTGCTTCATAAAATGTTGTTAATACCACGGCAACTAAATCCTGGTTACTGGGGTGCATGTAACTTGCCAGGAGCTGATGATCAGGCTCGTGAATATATGATTTGAACAACACTGTCTTATTTTGCTCAGTTCCGCCACTACTTGCAGTGAAGTCAGCAACCCTGAGACCTGTCACTTAAAAATTGTGGTTTCATTTAAAGCAGAACTAATTGAATCTTGGCACAAACAGTGTTTTTGTAGCTTTGCTTGGCCAGTTTTCTGCTTGGATATATGCTCTGTGTTCTTTGCGTAGTCATATTTACTCATTTCTGGGGCTAAAAAAGAAAGGCTTGTCCTCTTTCAATCCCTGGTGAATTTCCAAACCACATCCTCTACTTCTTATTATGTGTATGCATGTTCTTTTCACCTTATTTATTCTAAACTTGTGTTTACTCAACGACGGTTGTGTACTAAGTGGTTGCTTGCAGAATGCCACTTCTGTATTGCTTGAAGGGATATTCGTCCTTGCGTGATGCAAAAGAGCATATCCTCAAAGGGATCAGAAATTTGAGAGTTTGGATTTGGCAAAGCAGGTGAAAGCCATTAACTGTAGTTTTTGTCTTTGTCATGGACAAAAAGTTTTTAATGACTGACTCCATATTTCATCTCAACAATGACATTGCTATCATCACTGATTGAAGCATTAGATTACCGACTTACTTTCAATTCATTCTCATTGACCGGATATTATATTAACCAAAGTGCCATGATGGTGGCTAAGATTTCCATCTCCGAATGTCAATTCTCAAAATTCATTTCCAGTTTGAAAAGATATACACATGATTACACAAGTCACATGACATATTAGCACATAACATAAATAACACATGAAGTGGATTCACTGGCTAAATCCTTCAACTCAATGGTAAATCTACCAAAACAAAGTGATGATACCTATAGTTGCCATGGCGCCCGATGTAAGGTTACCATGTAATGCTCCTGGGATCTCATTCCATGTTGTATTGTGTTTTAACAAATGGCTTGTAGCTTTCAACAAAGTGCACTTTTCATTTGTGGAAAAAGGCACTGTTGACATGGTGCAGAATTATTTTCTTATTTCTGTCACGCATGCAAGCTTACACTAAAGCTACCCAGGGGGTCTCTGCCTCTTGTTTGATTTGTGTGGTCGGTCTTTTGATGTATAATAGAATGTGATGATGTAGCCATGCACTGACTGAAAATAATGACATGTTGCCCTGTTAGTGTTGATTTACACAAAGATGTCTACTACAGAGTTGCATCAATTAGGAATTTTTGTACATGAAATTAAATAATAAACCTACATATTTCAAGTCGATGGGGCATGACCTTATAAT